AAAAAAAAAAAAAAAAAAAAAAAAAAAAAAGAGAGAATTTTAATAAAATTAAGGATATGTAGTTCATCTATATTGGTATTAGCAGCATACACATAATCTTTCGGTTTCTAAACTTCTAGCACTTGATCTAAGAACATTATTTACAGTGGGAAATATTAATTTAAAACAAAGAAGCAAAAATGTACATATATTAACCTACCTTAGGAATAGGATTCAGGAGAACTACACCTGATTTCTTAGTGATGACTTGTTTTGTTGTATAGTGATGATCTATAAGTTGGGGGATGCTTGAAAATCCAGTGCCCTCAAATCGATACAGATTCTGAAAAGATAAAAATGAAGTAGAATAAATATGAAGATATTGTTCAGAAAGACTGCATTCTTCACAAAGTAAGCTCTATGTAACAAAAACTATCATTGCACAACAATGAATATATTCCACACTACTAAACTATACACTTAAAAATGATTAAGAGGTAAAAAGGAAAAACATATAGAAAAATAAATACTAAAATATACCTTTTGTCAAAAAGTGTAATAAAAGCTTCCTTCTGATTATTCACAACAATTTCACCCGTACATACACAGAAAATACATGGGTACAGATAGGGGAATGTATGATTTTAAGAAAATTTTAAAACTAGAACTTTTCTATTTTATAAAAATAGACAGTAGAATAGGGGTCTACGAAGAACAGAATGGGGTAGGAAGGATAGAGGGATGGAAACCAGAACACTGGTTAACAGGCACGACAATACAGTTACCTAGGAAGAAAAAGTTCTAGTGTTGTATAGCACAGCAAGATGACTACAGTTTACCAGAATTTATTACACGTTTTATAAAGAATTAGAAGAAAGGAGCTGGGAGACTGTCAAGATACACACACACACACACACACACACACACACACACACACACAGAAATGTTTAAGAAGATGGAAATGCTAATTACACTGATTTAATCATTACACATTGAATATACATACTGAATTATACTTTACAACTATGTTGTATCAATTAAATTTTTTTAACTTAGAACTTTGAAATCTGTCTAAATGTAAATATAATTCGCACTACCTCAAAGATTATTTTCCAAGGAAAAGGTTAAAAACTGAAAGCTCTTTTTTTATAATATAAAATAAGGTTCAGTTTAACAAAATTTAATTTATATATAACTTTTTAGGTAAATATTTCTTTTTTATCATTTGAGGAACATAGAGGCATTAAACAGAGTCTAAGATGCAGTAAAGAGATTATTCTTACTTTAGCATTTAAGGATATACAGTTAACACAAGGCAGTGTTAATTACATATAGTTACAGACAATTTGGGATAGTTGTTAACAAACTGCTTATAGAACTTTTCTACAAAGTAGCTAGACCAGATGTGATATATTAGTACTGATACTTAAGAATATTTCATATAGAGGATATTAATATATTTCTGAGCAAGATCTCTTAGTATCTTACTTTATCCACTGGTGAAACAGAGATGCTCTTCAGGCCTCCTCACAAATAAGTATGAGGACTATGTATTAATATGCTAACTACTTTGCGCATGTGGTACATAATACACTCTCAGTTACCACACAAATAATAACCCTTTCAAAATTACTCCAAATCTGGATATATGAAAGGAAGAATTTTCAATGAACACAAGTATAAATTACATTTTCTGAAAACTTTATCCTAGAAGGCATTCTTATATGAAACTCATTAAGAAATGAAGGCATAAAAGATTATAAAAATAGAACATGTAATGAGTAATAAAAACCACAATAATATTTTAGTCAAATATTTTGCTTCTTGTCTTCCTTCAGTCAACAGCATTTACTCATCATTCATGAGTGTATTTAAGAAGTATGACCCAAAAACCAGTGAATGCTGCTGGGAAGTCCCATCTAACAGGAAGCACAGACACATAAAAACATGTTGTGTGTTCTCATTCACCTTATTCATCGAGTCTGACACTGTACAACTTCTGATTCTTCCTCACAGTCAAAATGATCATGAAAGGTAAATGTTTTATGTACAATTACTGTTTTCACACCAGAGATACTATTCGGTATTTACACATGTGTGACTTATTTATTTCACTTAAGAGTATATCCTCAATATGTATCCATTTTCCTATGAATGACTCTAATTTCTCATTCTTTATGGCTGAGTAGTATTCCATTTTATAGAAAAACCACATCTTCTTTATCCAGTCTCCAACTGATGGGCAAATGGGCTGTTTCCAAGTTAAAGTAAATGTTCTAAATCAATCTAGGACACCAAGGCAATCATGATGGCACAACTAGAAACTCAGAAAAAAGAATTCTAGAACTGCTTAAAGTGGCAAGATTTGTGGAATGAGTATGCTTAAAGGGAGGGGAGTTATTTTGAGAGGGCGTTAATAGCAATGTGTTTTTTACTATTTCATACATTCACTGTATTTTTAGATCACACTCTTCAATTTAATCCCTCCTGAAGACCTGTTTTGACACATAAATCAATTCCTCAGAAGCTATGTGTTATAGCTCCCTTACTGCCTTCCAGCCTTCTATCAAATTTAACTTTTCAATGAGCTTTATTATGACGCAATACTTAATACCTACCTTCTCATCCCAACTAAATTTTTTACCTTTTTACCTTATTGAATTTTCTCTTCAGAACATATCACTATCATCATATACACTTTATTTATCTCTATCACCATACATCTTACTTATTTATCTTTTTACATTGTCTACTCCCCCTACCCCTGCCAAAATGTAGGCTCACTGGGTGATCAATTTATTCATCTGCTTTGTTCAGCAAAGTATCCCAATGCTCCAGAATTGTGTGTGGCACATATTACCTGTATCAATATGCATATATGAATGAATGAAACATAGTACATAGAATGTGGCTGTGAACTTAGACAATATAACTTAGAAACAACATTCATGCAGGGATTTAGCTCAGTGGTTCCATCACCTGCCTTGTAAACACAAGGTCCTGAGTTCGATCCCCAACACCAAAAAAAAAAAAAAAGAGAGAAGAAACAACATGCATGCAGTCAAGACACTGATCTACAATGTTGAATAAAAAGTAAATTAATGAGGGTTGCAGATTTAGCTCAGTGGTGCTGATGCCTGCTTCACAAGCACAAGGTGCCAAGTTTGACCCCCAGTACCAAAAAAAAAAAGGAAATTAATAAGATGAAGTTAACACACAATGAAATTTCAAATCAGCCACCGGTGTCATGTTCTATGTAAAATTCTAAAACACCTCCAAAACTCAAGACCTACTAAATTAAACAGTGGGGATTTTATTTTCAGTTTCCCTTTCTTACTAAAAGAAAATATCTAATTTTGAATTTAATTATTTTTAAACAATCTCTCTGATCAGTGAAGTTCTGAAAGTCCTAACACAATCTAAAACTGAGTAACTCATTTTCTTAAAAATGGAGATACAGTAATGAGCCTAAAAATGTTACAGTTTAAGCAAATGAAAGATCAATAATAGAACATTCACCAAAACTATTAAAGATTTCTTTCTCTCTTTTTTTGGTACCAGGGATCCAACTCAGGACCTTGTGCTTGCAAGGCAGGTGGTGGAATCACTAAGCTAAATCCCCAGCCCTAAAGTCTTATTTCTTAATACATGCACAGGGCCAGGGATTAAGATCAGCATTTCTGCCACCTACCTTGCAAGTGCAAGGACCCAAGTTCATAAAAAAAAAAAAAAAAAAAAAAAAAAAAAAAAAAAAAAAAAAAAAAAAAAAAAAGCCACCTGCCTTAATACATGCACAATTCCAAATTTTACATTTGCACAGATCTTGGTAAATTTCTTCTAACTCAGCTGATCTGAAAAGAGTCACATATAGATGATTTTTAAAAGTGTTCCACACTGCTTTAACAGTAATAGAAAGAAACCAAATTGACTTTTTCTTTTTGAAACAAGACTTGGAACACCTAGGCTCAAACAATCTTCCTAGTCAGCTAACTTTAAAGTTACAGACTAACTTTTAAATAAGAGATTCTTTTATAAATGCAAGTTGATATTAAAAAGTCATAAATTTCCAGAAATTTCTACATAGATCATTTTGTTGTTGGGTGTTACACTTTAAAATACTATGTAACATAATATTAAAGAAATATAAATGCAAAATATGTACAACACAATTTTTGGAAAAAAGAAACTACATAGATACATATGATTAGACTATATCAAAAATCTGAATTATACTGAATTCATAAAGAGACATTATTATAAATCATAGATTCCATAATACATATTTATGCATTTTGCCAAAAGCATGTATTACTTTGTATTTAAAACATTTACTGAATCTAGAACTTGTTTCTAAATTATCCTTGTGCTACTTACAAATCACTCATGGGAACAGATGAAAAATATAAAAGTCGGAATGAAATTTTATAGCTATGAAAATTTCCAAAGAAATTATTATGTAAGGAAGCCAGACAAAAGAGAATAAGTACACAAAATAAGAAGGAAATTCATAAGCTGAAATAATAATGCCTAAGCAGAACTCCTGGAAAAAATCAATATCCATAGTTCAGGACAATGAGCAGGCTTGAGAAAAAATGAAAGAAAAAATAAATATTTCTGAAACAGGCTGAAAAATCTGAATTTTAAAAAGACTAAAGCACTCCTTTTTTAGTAAATACCTAAAATTAAAAATAAAACATAAACACAGATGAATGTTAATAATTATTAATAACTATAAATAAATTATAAACTACTAATTAAACCAGTATACAGGAAGGAGTGAGAGTAATATCAGTAACGATTTGGTATGGCTTATCCTAGTTTACCTGTATTGATTCTTAGGTTTAACTGGCTCAGATTTAACTGCCCCAAGCTTCTCGGTTAAAAGCTTTGTTAAAACTTAGTATTTCCCCTTTACAGTATTACTACAATTTACAATTATATAAAGCATGTTGTGATTTATGAATGACTGTGAACCTCCTCTACAAACTACAAGCTCCACTATTACATCCCTGTGCCTTAAATGGTATACATTCAATCAGCAATTCCTAAAAAATAATATTAATACATTTGGGGATGGCTTTGTTTTATTGTTAATAAAGTCTTAGAAGTCTCAACAAACAACATATACTAATAAATATTTTTTTAAGTGTTGGATTTTGTGTGTGTGTGTGTGTGTGTGTGTGTGTGTGGTTGTACTGTAGTACTAGGAATTGAACTCAGGGCCTCCACAGATAGCTACATACCCTGCCCGCCCCTCTTTTTTATCTTATTTGACATTTTCGGAAAGAATCTTGCTAAATTTCCCAGGCTGGGCTTGAATTTGCAATCTCCTTGCCTCAGCCT